GGGGAGTATAATCAGGATTGTAAACCAATCGGGGCTCTGTTGCTTTATACAGTGTTGCTATTCCTCGCTTCTGAACATGCTTACAGGTACAGAAGCACAGGGTTAAACTAATTTATATTATGCTGTGCTTTTCTTGTTCAGATAGACTGGAATGGGTATTAGACAAGGCTATATTGCTCCACTGCTGTATCTGCAAGAAGGTCCAAGACTTGTCTATGTATCCTGTCAGGGTACCTTATCACAAGGGTACACGCATATACTGTGCAAAAACACACACGCAGTAATGTGCTTTTCACTGTGCCCAAAAAATGCATGTACTATTTTCACCATAGTGCACAGGGGTGCTTTGCTGTGCTTCATGGAGTGCTGTAGTCCAGGTCTGTTGCCAGGTTGTGCTAGGGTGCCGTTAAGAATTAGTGGCACTGATGCACACCTAAGCACAAAATGCATGTTGCATGCTAACATGCATACTAACACAGCACAACAGTGTGAACCTAGCCTTATTTTAGCCAGTGGAGCCTTTAGCAGAAAAAGTGCCACAGCCTGGGTGGTACATCCACCATCTATGATGCCATCCATGACTACCCCTTGGAGACCCCTTGGGGTCCTTGGAGACTGTTTGTCACAGTATGCTTTTTATGTTTTTTTTTGTTTAACATTGCTGAAGCACCCGTGTCGGTGCTGCAGACAGCAGCTCTGATACACATTAACTGAGACCTTGGCCTCAGCTGACAGAAGGTTTTTGGCAGTTACCCCTGTGAGTGTGTGCCCAGCAGGGAAGGATGTGCATCATGTACATGTGAAGTACATGCTAGGTCCTTCAAGCTAAACAGATTTCTGGTGGAAGCTGCCTTTGTCTTGCTTATAAGCTGCATGTAAATTCATGTACAGTAAAGCACTTTTGGCCTAGCTACTTATATCTCTTGTGACCTCCTATGGGGACAATTCTAACTGAGCTCCCAGCTCCACCTGCCATTTGTTCGCTGACCGATAACTTTTTTTTTTTCTTGCTTCAGGAATTGTTGGCAACTTAAACCCAGAGAACAAGGTGGACCTCAGTAACCCAGAGTATACGATTGTGGTTGAAATTATCAAAAGCGTTTGTTGCCTGAGTGTAGTGAAGGACTATACTCTGTTCAGGAAATATAACCTGCAGGAGGTAGTCAAGGGCACTAATGAAGAAACACCACAACAAACAGGAAATAAAGAGATAAAGCCACAACAAACAGGAAATAAAGAGGAAAAGCCGCCACAACCAGCAAACAAAGAGGAAAAGCCGCCACAACCAGCAAACAAAGACGAAAAGCCGCCACAACCAGCAAAAAAACAAAGAGGAAAAGCCGCCGCAACCAGCAAATAAAGACAAAGCACAAGAAAAGCAAGGAGGAGCCGTAGCAGCCACTGACACCTAAAAAGAATAGGATTCAGGACTGGAGGGACTGAACACTAAGAAAACTGCCACTTTTCAACATGTTTGCTTAATGGAGTGGGACCTTTGACCTTTTGAATATTATCTTGTAATCTGTTAACCATTTTCAAGTCTGTAAATATGGACTGCTATAATTTAACATTGTATATTTAGAAATACTGGGCTTACTAGCAAGACTGCAAAAAGATTGTTGCAGTTTTGCAGAATATGGCATCCTCCTTTTCCCCCTATAGTGGCTGACTGTAACTGTTGTGTCAACTGCCTATCATTGCAAGAATTAACAGTTCTTCTCTGTAGTCTAAAGAGAGAGAACAAGTTCACAGTTGGCTGCAGCCAGCCCATCGTGTCATTATTGTGACCTCATGTTACTTGAAGGGTTTATCAAACTCTGGTCAGTGTTGTATGAAAGAGTCAACTGTCATGTGCAATAAACTTTCACCTTAGTGCTGCTGATTCACCACTCATTCTGAGAACACCTATATAGATTCAAGACTTTAACCGTCTTATCTTGGTGTGAGCTTTATTGCTTGAAGATCTAGAGCAATGCAAAACCTGCCTATATGTGAATATTACAGATGTTCACTCCTTTATTCCTTGCATAATTTCCCTTTTAAAGTAAATCTTTAATGAAAGGTACATAGGAGCTGCCAATGCTGACTTCCCCTCAAAAATGCCCGTTGCCTGGCCATCATACTGTCCTGACATGAAGTTGGGACTTTTTAACCTTTTCTCAAGCTTTCTTGATCTGCCTATTTTACTGGATCAGTGTCTTGTAGATGTAGTAAAGCCAGTGGGGCAGCATAACAACCAAGCCCCTGGCATATTCAGCAGGGTGTTAGCACTCTCTTGACAGGTGTATGTTAAAGTTTAGACATTTTAAAGTTAGCTGTTTTCACTGTAGGATTTTTAATTTGACAATAACTTCCATGTATTTAAGTAAGAGAGTACATCTTCATTGATTGTTATATATTCTTTTAATTTAGACAGCATTGCACTTTTGAGGTAGCTTGTTGTTTCTACTTTTCTATGTCATTGTGTGAACTTGTTGGGTCATACTATATAGACTGGAAAGTTTGTTACTGTAAATTGTGTTGAAAATTAAGCAAGCAGGTATTTTCTTTGTATACACTGCCATGTAGTGCTCATTTAGGATGTTTTGCCCTGTGAAATGTGTCTAGGCAAAGTCACTTTCTCAATGATTGCTTTTTAATGGTAAAAGGTACCGCTTTTTTGAAAAATTATACTGTTGTATATTGTTAAATGTCAAGATTATTATTCAAGCAGACTTGTAAAGTTAGTGAAAGTTCCACTTTAATGTGATAATTAAACAGTGAGCTGCTTCATGTTATAATGTAACACTCTTACTTGCATTTGTACGTGTTGAGTTTTTTGTTTTAATTTTGAACTGCAGCAGCATAAATATATTCTGGTCACCCACTGATTAACGTAATTTGGTTTCGGTATGGTTTGGTCTCCTGAGCTTAGCTAACAAGCTAGCTTCTGTAGAGAAATATTGCAGTTATTAGTGAAAGTAATAGATTTCTAAGTTTGTATTATCCTTTTTGTTTTTTAAATAAAAATTCAATTTTCTTTTATTTATTTCCTTATTTCTTTCTTTTATATGTATTTTGTCGTCTCTGATCCAGCTATGAATCCTCTATTTCTGGCATTTAGGTTAAGAGGAAAAGGAAAAGGTAACCCAAGATCCAGATTTTGTCATAAAGAGGCTTACATTACAGTCACAAAAATAGATCTTGAAAATTAACCTTTAAGGATAGAAATATTGAAGCTGTCATTGCTGACCTATTTTTTGTTTTTGAAGGTTCAGGATTCAAGCCTGTCATACTCATTTTTCCTTTTTCTACTTGATGCATTACTGACCTGGGACATGCATGTGTCTCATATCAGGTATCCAGGTAAAACAAGGTCAGCTCCCATATTTCTCCTTTACAGTTTCCCTTTTAACACAATCAGGCAGCGCAGCATTGAGGATGTGCGGAGTGAACTGTAAGAAATGATTACTTAGCTGGTTGACGTAATCTGAAATTTGGTTATAGGTTAATAACAAAATGGGCAAGTGTAAGTATTTGAGTGACTTTGACAAGAGCCAAATTGTTATGGCTAGATGACTGAGTCGGAGAAACTACAAAACTGGGATGCTCTGGGTCTGCAGTGGTCAGACGCTACCAAAAGTGGTTCAAGGACAGAAAACCAGTGAACTGGTGACAGTCATAGGCGACCAAGGCTCCTTGATGCACATAGGGAGCAAAGGCTGGCCTGTGTAGTCCAATCCAATAGAATAGTTCCTGTAGCTCAAATTGCTGAAAAAGTTAATGCTGGTTCTGATAGAAAGGTGTCTGAGCACACAGTGCATCGCAGTTTTTTTGCGTATTGGGCTGCATAGCCGCAGACCAGTCAGGGTGCCCATGCTGACCCGTGCCAACCACCAAAAGCACCTATGATGGGCATGTGAGCTTCAGAACCGGACCATGGAAGAAGATGGCCTGGTCTGATGAATCACGTTTTTCTTTTACATCATGTGGATGTCCTGTGTATGTGTCGCTTACCTGGGGAAAAGATGGCACCGGGAGCACTTTGGGATTAGTCATGGGCTGAACACACCTGATTTCGATTCTAACTTGAACTTTCGAACATGGAAAAAGTTCTAACTCGAACTTCAATCTCCATAAAAGTCTATGGGACCAGAACTCGGAAAATCCAATGTACCCATTTTGACGGCTTATATGCAAGTTATTGGCCATATAAAAGGTATGTGGATCCAGGTACTGCCCTGGGGGACATGTATCAATGATAACACTTTTTAAAAATACCATTTTTAAAGGAGCAGTGATTTTAACATCAGTTAAAGTGAAACAATAAAGATGAAAAATTCCTTTAACCCCTTCATGACTGAGGCCCTTTTTTCCATTTTTGCACCCATGTTATATTCCACATTTTAGGCCTGAAAATGACGTAAAACCCCCCAACATTATATATTTTCTGAATGCCAAGACCCTATAGAATAAAATGGTGGTAGTTGAAAATTTTTATGTTGCGCAATATTAGCGCAACTCCTTATTAAACCCCAAAATTTAGTGACAAATTTAATTAAATGCCCCAAAACACAACAAATTACCCATTTTTTTAATGAAATATAAAAGAACGTGCCTGGGGGTCCCCTTAAACTGCCTGTATAGTGGCGCATTTGTACGATGTATAGAACCTGCTGCAGCAAAACTGACAATGACCAGGCATCTGTCCTGTACCAGGCGGCAATTCCGCCGCAACCCCCCTCCGTCAGAGAGGAGAGAAGCCGCGCGACGGGTCCTCTGGCCGCTGGCGTGGCTTCTCCCTCTAGTGCTGGCGGAACTACTTCCGCCTCTTCCTATGTCCTCTCCTGCAGAGAGAGGAGAGAGCGCGCCCGACCGGCGTATGGTGGAGACTGGAGGGCAGCCAGCCAGCGACGCCGCAGCAGCCATCGGTGGCATCGGAGGAGGGCAAGGAGGAGGCTCATACCGGTGGAGGAGGGAGTTCAGGTTAGTGAAGCCCTCTTCTTTTATTATATATTTTTTTCTTCAACATTTAATTATGTAACACATTAGTGCCTGCATTTTCTGGTCCAGTGCGATCTGCAAAAATGCTGCATGCACTATTTTGTGCAGATTATACTGGACCAGAACGCGAGCACTAATGTGTCACACGTTTGGGTGCCGGCGATCACACTGGGGGCAGGGGGCTCGGCTGCGGTGCTGTTGAGTTCAATGCACCACCAGTGGCGGACTGACCATTCGGGTATAGCCAGCTGTACCCGCCCCCTCCCCGTCCGCTCCTGGTATGTGGGTCAGCATGAGTGAGGACGCTCTCCTGTGACCCCTCCCCTCCACTGGCCGCCAAGGAGAGGTGCTGCAGCCTGGATGTAGGTAAGGTTGAGGAGTCTGTGGGTGATGGCTGGCTTGGGGGG